ATCATCATCATCATCATCCAAGGCCATTGTTCTTTCTCTCTCTTTCTCTTCGTCACCCGAAATAGGGAGGGAGGTCAAAGCCCCTTTTTCTCCCATTCATTCCATGGTTTTCTTTGAGCCATCACGCCATGACGTATCGCTCGGAGAAAGGATCACTATTGACCTTCCCTCCGCATTCGGCACGACGAGTCTCTCTCTCTCTCGTCTCTCCTCTCTTTACACGCCCCATCCCATGTAATCTCGACCAAATCCCAAAGCCACCCCCCTATTCGCACGACCGAAACCCGCGTTACGCAACGCCTGCGCACGCGCCCCGTCCTCGACTCACCTGTTTCCGCTTGTGTTGCTTGCTGCCATCGAACCGGGCCTTGATCTCCTCCAGCACCGACCCCAGGCTCTCCTCGTCCGCTTGTCCCCTCGCCAGCAGCAGGTAGCTCCTCCACCGCCTCGAGTCGAATCCCCAGTGCACCGTCCGGTTTTCCGCGTGTTTGTGCACGTGCCCCACGAAGTTCTCGGGGCTGAGGAGTCCCCCGCAGTCCCCGCACTCGATGCACCTCGCGCTCGGCGACGAGTACCAGTCGGGATAACACACCCCCTTGCACTTCCCGAAGCACCCGTGGTACACTCGAAACCCGAACGGGCGGTGTTTGTACTCGGGGGGTATGAGCGGCGGGTGGGCGTGAAGCAGACGACGGCACAGGCGTTCCGCGTCCGTCTTCGTGATCAACCCGCACGTGGGCGCCGAGATCGGGATGATCCGGGAGGCCTTTAGTACCGCCAGCTGGGCCCCGTTGCAGCGGGAGCAGTAGATTTGGAGCTCATCACAGACACTGTTGATTTGTACGAGGGTGAACTCCCGCAGGACGGTGTTGAGGATCTGCGGGAGACACAGCCGGTCCTCGCCCCCCACCGTGAAGCAGGAGATCGTCTCCCCTTCCAGCACCGTCTCGCCCCGTTCGCCGTGGGGGTCCGGCGTGGTCAGGATGGGCAAGGGGGCGGGGAATCGCAGGTCGCCGGGTGGGAACGATCGCAGGTCACCGGTGGGGCTCTCCGTCTCCGATTTTACCTCGCTCGATTTCGTCCGTTTTTCCGATTCTAACACGCAGCCGGGACCGGACAAGCTGGTCATGGCCGCCGTCTGATAACTTCTCAAGACCTTCTTCAGATGCGCGGGGTACCCCGACGAAGTCTCCATACTCGAAAAACTCAATCCGATCTCATCGGTGCGGATGCCGCCTCTTGGATCTCCTCGAGATCCTCTCTTTCCCCCCCTCACCCTCACCGCACCACCTCGGGCATCTCTCACGTTCCACCTCGAACGCGCCTACGTCACGCAGAAGCGACCGCACGGGCCTTCCGTCCTCTTCGTCCCCCCCATATCACAGCCAGCATGACCGGGAAACGGCTGAACCAACGACACGACCACGCGGCGTCGAACTGCACCGAGAGCGAACCACCCTCATGACAGGAAAGCATCCGGCACTGAACTGAGCGAGTGCGGCGGGCGGCGCAATTCCCCGGTCCCAGCCCAGCCCAGCCAGGTCTGAGACGACGTCGCCGCTCTTCCGTCTCCCTCCCGCCTCCCTTCCCTCTCACTCCCGCCACTCTGGCTAGTCGCTCCTCGTTCCTCCCACTCCCCCCTTCTCGGAACGGCGACGGCGTCGTCCTCCCGTCTGCTGACGTCGCTCGCGTCGTCTGCTCGCGGCCCCGTCCGATGACGTCACCTGCGTCGTCTGCTCTCGGTCCCG